TCCAAAAAATGAAATTGATAATATCGCTTTAAACCAGAAAAAAAAAAATTTGTAACCTTGATCAGAGTTTAAAGATGATAAAAACAATTACTAGTTTTGAAATACTTCTGTTTATTAAACTTGGAAAAATTACAATAGTTAAAACTTCTAAAACAACTCTAACAAAAACCGCATCCTATATCTGAGACTTATGTTTCAAGGAATTATCCGAGTTCAGTTGCAACAGCTGTTGAATTCGATGTTTCAACAGAATTGCAAGCAGTTTTTTCTTGTAATTTTTGCCAAATTTGTCGCATTAATCAAAATAATTCCATTTAATTTGTAAAACCAACAAAAAAGTTTAGATGAAATAATAGAAATAAATTCAAAGACAACAATTCTTCCATTACGCTGTTAAACTTACTTTTCAAAACTGTTTTTAATAATTTAGCAAAATTTTCTGGATAACGTGCCAAACGAGAAGCACAAACGATAAATTTTTCCAATTCTCTATTTTTAGAGCTGAGACGCCTGTTTTTTTTTTTTCGTTTACTTCTCACTTACTGTTCAATTAACTCTGAGTCGTTGTAAACATGAAGATAAATTTTTGAGAAAGATCAGTCGTTTGTTGAAAAGACGTGAGAATAGCACTTAAAAAATTAATCGACATCGTTGTCTTTAATTCACCTATTAAAAATAATGGAACTTTTTTATATGCTTGGAGAAATGAGGCAGTATTATAGAAAGTGAGTGATCATAGCAGAATTAGTAGAGTGAAAAAAAAAGCTAAGTACGCAAACGATAAGTTAATTTCAGAATTACATTACGTGATCACAACCTAACCAAGTCTGTAGTCAATCTCTTTTACATAATTCTGCTTCAGCGTTCCTCTGACCAAAACTGAAAATTTTTTTGACAAAAGGCAGTCTGCCACGAGCCAAAGCACTGTTAAGAAAAGACAGGCAGTGCCTAGCAAAAATGTTTATTAATTATCAAATTTAACTTCTTATTTATAAGCGTCTTTCAATTTTTTTTTTAATTTTATTAGCTTTTTTCTTTTCGTTTTTGATTAATCTGAATCAGCCTCAGCCAATGAAGTACCTCCTTTTGTCGGTTTCCATACTGTAAACCTACAGTCCTCATCTTTTTTCTCTTTTAATTTGGCAACCTTTGTTTATTCTGCCCTATTCAGCTTTTATTGCATTTAAATGCGATATGTATTTTTGCTGAATAAGAAACAATTAATTTCAAAGCAATTTTTACGGTATGCAAAAATTTTCTGATTGTAAAGCGCTTCAGATAACTACCTCAATGTCCATCTTTTATTTTAGAATGGTGGTCAGCAGCATACAAAAGCAAAATCGGAAAGTGCGAAGAAGAGGGGATAAAAGATCAAGTTTTTCTGTTTCCTGGTGCCAAAATTAAGTAGTATAAAATGAAGTCTGACCAGCTAGTGAGGGTAGTACTGTTGCCTTTTGATCTCGTCAAGAACAGCTTTACTGAAAGTAGTGAAAATAGATATTATGCAAACTTTGAGGATCATGATGGCGATAATTATAGGAGTAATGAAGATAATACTGATAATACTAACGGTTGAATAAGTAGTGAAAGAAAAGTTTGTTTTATAAAAAAAAATTAGCTACGCTATATGAATCAGTGTTAGCAAAACAACAAGAAAATAGAAGAAAAAAA